TGAGTGTAAAACGAGAGCTGTCAAATGTAACAAGTAGTAGTAAAAGGCGGATTCGTCGCCAATCCTTGCGTCAACCGCTAGGACCCTTGCGTCACCCTTGCGTCACCCTTGCGTCGCAGGGGTCATTTCAGAGAGCGAAGTCTATGCGCTATACATTGATTAGCACAAAGATTTCAAATTGCGGTATTTCATTTTAAAATTATATTAAGTACACTACAAAAATTCTGCTTTGTTTGAATTTTTCATTCTGTTTACAATTTACACTGCCACTCACTCACCCAATCACTCACACATTCACTCGTTCGCTCGATTGTATACTACATCTCTCTCTCTCTCTCTCTCTCTCTCACACACACAGAAAACTAGTTTTGGATTTCTCCTTTCTCTCTCTCTCTCTGTCGAAAACCAGATTTTTCTTCTTCTCTCTTTTTTCTTTTCTTTCTCCGTATCTCTAACACACACACACACACACACACTCTCTCTCAGAAAACTGGTTTTGCATTTTTCCGTTCTCTCTCTCTTTTCCCCCTGCCTCTCTCTCTCTCACACACACGCGCGATCTCTCATTCTTGAAAAACCCAGTTTTCTTTAATTTTAAATAAAAGATTTTGTTTATAGTGAGAATCAAACCCAGAGGCTGGTGCATGCAAAGCATGCACGCAAACCGCTGAGCTACGACGTTCTTTACTAAATGTATGGAAAAAGTTGGTACATATGCGTTTCTGGTAACATACAAACGAAGTAAAAAAACTACTGAGCTTTCAAAATGTAAACAAAAGACCTTAAAACGTGAACGTGTCAAGCGTAAACTAGGTATACATAGAATAATTAACTGAAAACATTGAATAAAATCAACTTTTCTATGTTTCATTTTCAATCATATTATCCATAAGAAAATACATCATTTCAAATTCATCATTCACTCTAAATATTTGTTCGGTTCACAAATGTGCTTCAAAAATGCCAATCAAAAGTGCTGATATTATTTCAAATTCAAGCTCATCATCATCATCATGTGAACATTCCGGTGATCACTGCGTATTTATGAAAAGTAGATTTTGATACTACGGTTCTATGTATGCAGAAGAGCTTCAACATGTGAGAAATCCCAAAGAATATCTCGTTGAAAAGATACTCCGTAGGAAAAATGGAAAAGTTTATGTGAAATGGCTTGGTTTTGCCAATGAATATAATTCATGGATTCCGGAAAGTAGTTTAATTGACTAAGTTCTTATTAATGGAAACATTGATATTTTAAAATTGTTTGAAAAAGTTTTATTGAATAAAAATGAAAAATAAAAAGTATACAAATGTGTGTTATTTTTCTTACATTCCAAGAAAAATTATCATGGTTCTTCATATGTGATTTACATTCTGTATAGTAAGTATAAATCTAAATTATGAACATGAGATGGTGTTTGTAACTATTGAATTATGCTCTAACTCAGATGCATACTTGATAAAATCATTCAAAAAACTTAAAAGTAAGGGTTCATCCTTTACTAATGGTATATTGAAATCGATTTTATTTTTCATCTTCTCTGCGATTTGTTGGATGTAATCACCATCGTAAAATGTGATTCCCGGCTTTAATTCCGGCATTAATCCCGAAATGAATAAGTTAAATACAGTGTCTTCTTTCCATATCGGTCGTGTAAATTCATGAAGCCAGTAATTGAACCCATTTTTGGTGTTCAACTCTTGTTTCGTTTTATATTCGTATATCTGGTTCGGTTCATAATCATTAGAAATAGCCAGTTGTTTGAAAATCCGTAACCCAACCGTTGATTCTGAACACTTGCAGTTGGAGGGAGTGCGAACAAATATTTTCTCGTATTGTTCAGGATAGTTCACTACATCCAAATCCATTGTTAAAGCAGAATTACACTTGTAATAATGACTTTTTCATGAAAATAGTCAAGTAGTTTAAATTACAAGTCGATTAAAAGTTTTTGAATATTATTTATTTATTTCTCTTGAATCCATTCAAAGTTGTGCCATTCAAAAAATTACAATTCATAATTTAGCAGAAACGCAACATTTTACTGCAATTTATTCAAACGATCGAATAAGAAATCTGTATGTTGGGAATACAGCTATGCTTCTAAGATCCCGGGAATTTGTCCAAATGTGCTTTCTGTCTGACTAAAGAATGTTCAAAACCAGGTCCGTTGGGATTCAAACACAGTCCATCCATGATACCATAAAAGATTGACCATGTCAGGCCGCCTAGAAGCCCTTGTTTGTAAAGACATTGTCGAAATAGCTGATCACATGAGCAGGCACTCAATGTATAGCTACTTACGACATTATGGAATAGTATTAATCTACCGTCTGGAGAAAAGTCCATACCATTTGGGGGAACTGATATCGGACACTGATCGTGACCGGCGCAGCACCTATGTATAATAAAAAATTCATTAGAGAAAATTCCTTATTCTAAAAACTAAAAACTTCTTACCCGTCAATTCCATGCCACAGGGACAGATCTCTCGTCATCACCGGTAATATATTTTTACCGCAATGCTTCGTTCCTGTAATGAAAACGACATTAGTTAAGCTTAATGTGATTGGTCAAATTTCAATGACGCTGATATTGACAATAAATAACAAATTCTTCGTGAGAATGTTTTAAAAGCCAAATACTGAAAAAATTGTTCGACCTCGCTCAGCGCAATGAAAATAATAAATATAGAATCAATAAATGTAGAAAATTTATAATTAAAAAATATGGAATATTGTGAAAAAACACAAGCAAAAACCAACACAAAACGATCGTAATTTAATAAATAAATAAAAAAAACTTTCATCTTACCTGGTACGATTTCTGTACTCACAACAGCACAGATAAGTGGGATGAAATAAATCATAATGAATTTTGCCATTTTCATTATTTTGATTCTTCCGATTTTTCAAATAAGACTGAAGCATTTGTATAGCGAAAATACTTTATTTATACCAGTATTATCGTCACAATTATCAGCTATTGATATCGTCAACAATATTCATTGCAAGCTAATGCAAATTTCCAATTTTTTATTTACGGTAAATTAAATGGAAAAGTTCATGGCTGTGCAAGGTTTCTATTTTCATTCGATTGTATGATAATGAAATTGAGACATTAGTTTACAATATGTTGAAATCAAAAGACAACACGAAAAAAATTAAGGTCAGAATAATGACATTTGTACAATGTCAAGTATTAACAACACCAAATGCATTCAACATCATCAACGTCATCGTCGTATTGCACTTCAAACAACTGCAGTGTGAATTAGCTTAGTACAGCAATTTGCGTTATCAAACAATTTTCATATGCGCTAATATGTATGAAGTTGATTAACAAATTCTCTTTTTTTCTTTGATTGCTAATCAAGTTGCTGATCATCCAAATAGAGTTCAATGATTTTTTTTTTCAAATTCAAAAGAGCCATAGTTTTAGTTGAATGAACTCAAGAAAAAAAACTTAAATTTATTGTTTTAATAAAAAAAGTTACTTATTACATTTAATAAATAATTAATTTGAATCAAAGCAAAAATGTAATAAACAACTGAAAGAGAATTTTTTACTTGTCGATGTTCACCCAAAAAACATAGCACAATGAATCACCAACATATACTTGATTCCTATGCTTATATGGATTTTCAATATATCCAGTTGGAAGAACTACACTTTCCCGTTCAGCATTGTATTTTAGATGATGTTTAACATCGTACGAAGTTTGGAGAAGAAATTCCACCAAAATACGTTCTGTTTCCTCTGAAATATTTTTGTAACGTTCAAACGAACAATTTATCTGCATATTGAACATTTTTTCACACATTTCTGATATAACATTCAAGAGAATTGGATCATTGGCAACATTCAAAAGTTCAGCTTGAGTGGTGTTATATTGTTTTGCATATTTAGCTAAATTCAAATTTGGAAGAACAATACCACGGACCGCTTGCATAACACATAGATCTTCGCATAAATTTCTTGCCTGGAAAATAAAGAAAGTAGTTTCTATTGCTATTCGTACTATATTTTTGTTCAAAAGAGCTTACTCCGGAATGTGTAGGAGGAAGTGGACGAGAAAAATCATTTAGATGTTTATTCAATGATTTCAAAAATATTTTTACTTTGACGCCATAAGATGTTTCACAACGATTCAAATATACAAAAACATCTCCAACGAAGTTTCTCTTTAAATTCCTTCCATAAAGCTTGATCGCATTCCAAGCATGAATATCATTAACATTTCTGGACAAAGACGCAATAGCACATTCCAATTTTGCCAGATAATTTTCAAAACACACGTTTGGAAGTAATGCGTGCTCATAACCGGGGGGACTGGGCTATATATAAAATGAAAATTTAATTAGCAATCTATCACACTGAATGGTGTTAAATCAATTTATAATTGCTACAAACCGCGTATTTTATTTCGGGATTAGGAACCACTTCAATCTGCGTATTAATGAGAAAAATTGAATTAATAATAAAAAATGATGATATGAAAGTACCCTACCTCTATCCATTGATTAAGATCTTCGTGTGCTATATAATGTCAATCAAAATAATTGAATTAATTGAAAAGTAAAAAGGCAATTTTTATTCAAATCACCTGTTGCAATTGAATTATTTGGAGCAGCTGGAATGGAACTAACAGCTGAGAGTATCGTTGTTGTGAATATGATATTTAAATACATTTTAAACGGTACAAAGCTGCAAATACAACGACTTATTTTGAACTGTTCAACTTCAACTTTAGCTACCATCATTTATATCATAGGTATTTCGAATTGAAATGCTGAATTTTTGCCTTTAAAACTCGTTTGTCTTCTTTTCTTCATCCGTAACCCACACTCGATATACGTTTAGGCACAACAAATGCGTGGCAACTTGACTTTATTCTTGTCATACATTCATGCACGTTGATTTCTATATTCAAGGTCAATCAGTTTTGAAGAAGAAAGAAAGCGTGGGTAAAATACCGGTTTTGAAGAAGAAAGAAGGTGTGGCCAAAACCCGGTTTGGATAAAACCACTATTTTCATACTACTAGCTCGATTTTAGTATACTTTTAAACGCATACTCGATGATAAAAAATTATAAACAATAAACTAGGAATATAATTTTTGCGACGTAATACAAGATTTTGTTGAAATTTCAATATGTTTTGTTCAATATATTGAACTTCAATTATTTCTTCTACTTTCTCTCTCTCTAACATGCATACACTTGTTTTTTCGATACACAAAGCAACATGAATCATCGTCTCGTACATTTGTTCTATGTTTCACCACATTATGAAATAGCAGTGGTACGACTAAATGCAGTTTTTTTTTATCCTTGAACGAGTTTATTGAACTCATATGTTACCGTCGCGACAGTGAATGTGCGTGTTCCACACATACGCGTGGATTCAATGATAAAAAATCAAATGAAAGAGATCGAAGAAAAAATAAAAAAAGAGTGGGGGTAATGTGAGTATAAAAGAGAGAGAGTATGTGGGTAAAAAGGGAGAAAAAGACAGAAAAAAAGGAGAATTATGACTGTAAGAGAGATAGCATGTGAGTAAAAGAGAGAAAAAGAAAGAAAAAAGAGGAGAAGTATGACTTTAAGAGAGGAAGTATGTGAGTAAAAGAGAGAATATGAATATGAAAGAGAGTTCGAAACAATTATATTCATTCTTTAAAATTTAATTCATAAAATATTTGACTTCATTCATCTTCAGAACATAGAACCTAACAGGTGCTATTTAGTGAACTCTTAAAAATGGAAAATGTCGAAGCGAAACCGTCCACTAATACAATTCAATATGTACCTAGCGTTGAGTTACAAGTGCGTGAAAATGCATTTAATAGACGAATAAACACATTCGCTATTGTAAATAATGGGCATATTGATATTGAAATATTTCTAAACGATGCCTTTCGTATATATCGTTCGGAACTTACAAAAAATATTGAAAAATTTATCAATGTGAAGTCAATGACTGTATTCGTAGCAGAGTTTGAAAAAAAAATTGTAAACACAGATGAAAATAATGATTCCAACAATAATGACGATACTGGCGGTAATCATAGTGAGTTAACGCAGAAAGAGACTATTTATCTCTCAACACCAACACGTAAGCTTGATTTAAGCGTAAACCTACATAAACATTTTCGAAAACAAATTGTTCAACAAATAGTGGAAAGTGCAGAACAAGTTACATTCCGTGGTTCTGGATTTACGCTCGCCCGCATAATCGAGTTGAATGTTCACGTTAACTTATACAACCCATTACAAGGTTCATCGTATATTCAAACACCTAAAAAATTACGATATAAAAATGCAATTATCAACGTACAAAATCAACTTGATGAAATGTGTTTCAAATGGGCTATTTTGTCTGCCTTACACCCGGTAGATGATCATCCAGAGCGAATTCCTCATTATTATAAATATGAAAATGAATTGAATTTTGATGGAATCGATTTCCCCGTTCGCTTGAATCAAATCGATAAATTTGTTCGACAAAATGACAATATATCAATAAATGTATACTATTACGATGATGACAATGAGGGTCGTATATGTCCATTACGTGTGAGTAATGAAGTTAAGCAGCATCACATTCATTTGCTGTTAATCAAAGATGGAGAAAGTGTTAATGAAACTGAGAAAAGAAATGTTAAAACGGCTAGCACTTCCAATATGATTAAGGAGATCTGCGATAATAATTCAATTCGTTCTCATTATTGTTGGATAAAAAATTTGAGCCGTCTTATCAGCAGTCAGCTGAGTAATCATAAGTCTCAATATTTCATTTGCGATCGATGTCTAATATTTTATGATACAAATGAAAAATTAATGAAACATACTGCAGAATGTACAAACGCGTGTAGCATTGAAATGCCCGATCAAACATGGAAATGGATGAAATTTGATAACTATAAACATCAGCTGAAAGCACCATTTGTTGTTTACGCTGATACTGAAGCGTATCTGAAAGGGCTCAGTATGGAAGATCAGAAACGTATATTTAGTGAGGAATGTGCAACTACCGCATATCAGCAGCATCATATGTACAGCGTTGGATACTATTTTAAATGTGAATTTGACGATTCATTTTCATATTACCGAAGCAGCGGAAATCGTACCGATAGCGTCGAATGGTTCATCACAGAATTGAAGGAAATCGCTCATGGAGTTGCAAGGTTATTTGATAAAAACACACCAATGCTACCGTTAACTGAAGATGACAGATATACATTCCACGATCCAAATGCATTATGTACAATTTGTGGTAATATTTTTGAAGCGAATGATATTAGAGTACATGATCACTGTCATCTCACCGGTCGATATAGAGGTCCAGCCCATCAAGCATGCAACCTACAGTTCCAAGATAGCCACGTTGTACCCGTTATTATGCACAATTTGTCGGGTTACGACTCACATTTATTCATAAAAAAGTTGTCAGCAAATAATATCATAAATGGAGATGTTTCAATTATTCCAGCTAATGCGGAACAATACATCGCTTTCACGAAAGTAGTGACAGGGAGCACACGCGGGCTCAATACGAGAGAAAACGTAAAATTTAAATTCATTGATTCATATCGATTCATGCCTGCATCTCTAGCTGAATTAGCATCACTACTACCGGCAGATAAAAAACAAATATTGTATAACGAATGTGAGAAAAATGGCTACACATCAGAACAAATCTCTATGCTTGAACGTAAAGGCGTTTTTCCTTATGAATATTTGAGCGGTATGGAGCAGCTGAAGGAGACAAATCTACCATTAAAAGCAGATTTTTACAGCAAACTTAACGGAGAAGGAATATCGGATGACGATTACCAATTTGCTCACGACATCTGGCAGAAATTCAATTGTAAAACGCTCGGAGACTATTCTGAACTATATCTCAAGACAGATGTACTACTGTTGGCCGACGTATTTGAAAATTTTCGAAATACATGCCATACAATTTACAGTTTGGATCCGGCAAACTACTACACAGCTCCAGGTCTTTCGTGGGATGCCATGCTCAAATATACCGGAGTGAGAATTGAACTGTTATCTGATGTGGAAATGTTGCTGTTCATCGAACGTGGAATTCGCGGTGGTATAAGTCAGTGCAGTAAACGTCAAGTCAAAGCCAACAATAAATACATGGGAGATGTATACAATGATGAGAAACCTTCAAATTATTTAATGTATTTAGATGGTAAATATTATTTCATTTAACTTTATTCAATTTCATGGTATTTTTAGAATCTAATTTCATTTTGTTTCATTTATATTGATAGCAAATAATCTGTATGGACATGCAATGTCGCAACCATTACCGCTGAGAGATTTCAAATGGATTGAAGACAACAATGTGAAGACATCTTTTTCGGATGCAGATGAAATAGCTAAATTAGCTGATGATTCGAAATATGGCTATATATTCGAGGTGGATCTACAATATCCAAAAAATTTACATGCTAAACATAATGATTTTCCATTTTGTCCTGAAAAGCGAACGCTTCCGCAAGAAGTGTTAGATTTTATCGGTATAAAACCGAATAAAATCGATAAATTATTGTTAACGCTATATGATAAAGAAAATTATATCATTCATTATCGCATGCTAAAATTAGCATTACAACACGGTCTAGTATTGAAAAAAGTACATCGAGTACTTCAATTCGAACAAAATTGCTGGCTAAAGTCCTACATCAATATTAACACACAGCTACGTACCCAAGCCACCAACGACTTTGAAAAGTCGTTTTTTAAATATATGATAAACGCCGTTTTTGGTAAAACGATGGAGAATCTGCGTTTACGTGCAGATATCAAACTTGTCAACAAGTGGGGTGGGCGATGTGGTGCAGGCATGTTCATTTCTCGACCAAATGTCAAGAAATGTAAAATTCTCGATGAAGATTTAGCAGTAATTGAGTTACAAAAAACGCATATTAAAATGAATAAACCAATAATTATCGGTATGTCCATCTTAGACATATCGAAAATAACGATGTACAGTTTTCTGTACGACTTTTTAAAACCTAAATATGGAAAAAATTGTACGGTTGCCTATACAGACACCGACTCTTTCATACTTTCCATTCAAACGGATGATTTCTACAATGATATGAAGCAACACTTGAATCGCTATGATACAAGCGATTATCCGGAAAACAATGTTTTCAAAATGCCTCAAAGGAATAAAAAAGTGCCCGGTATTTTTAAAGACGAATTGAACGGGGAGATTTTAGCAGAATTCGTCGGTCTACGTGCAAAATGCTACGCTGTACTACCGTTTAGAGCTAAAATGGAAAAATGTGAATGTCCAAAAAGAGTTGCAGCGTCTCGTGTAATAACAGATAGTGACTATGTTGACTGCATGGAAAAGAATTGTAACATCAGAAAAAAATCTAAGATTATTAAAAAGTCTAAGGGTATCAAAAAGAATATAGTGAAACGTAAAATTGCATTTAGCGATTATGTTGACTGTATCGAGAAAAATTGTAATATTTTACGTGAACAGCATAACCTTTGCTCAAAATCACATCAAATATTCACAATTAAACAGAAAAAAATTGCTTTAAATCCGTTCGACGATAAGCGTTACCTTATTCGTTCGAATGGTATTGATACACTAGCTTGGGGTCATCATGAAATTAGTGAAATTGAGAAAAATTATTGTTAGGTGAAACGTAAATTTTCATATAATTTTAAGCAAAAATAGTAAAAGAGATACAAAAATGAGACAGTTTCCATTGATTTTCATAAAAAAGTAACATTTTATGTAAAATTATGAAAGTTTCTGTATAATTCAATGGTAAAATAATTTCAAATCGAACCTATATGATTGCTTCATATATTATAATATATACACATAAATATGAAATAAAAAGATTTGTATTTTTGTCAACAAAATTATCGTGTTTTTTTTATTTATCTGTTTTCATGATTTTTTACAATTTTCAATATATATACTTTATTATATTTTATACTTATAGCGATTCCCCAATGTAGCCACCGCTTCGTAATTTAGAAATTAATTTCAAAATTTCACTCAATGATTGAGTCGGAACATACAAGTTGTCGCATATACGTCGCAATTTTCCACATATTTCATTGGGATCTTCTTCATTTTCTTCGCTCTCGTCTTCCTCCTCCTCCTCATCATCATCATATTCGTCAGTAGTATCATCGGCTTCATGTTCATTCTCATTCATTTCAGTCGATGGTTTATACAGCTTAAGTTGACGGAAT